TATTAATTATATTATGCTGAATTAGATAATTGTTTCTTGCAAACATGTATAGTCAATACTTATTTGAATGTGTACTGATTATTGGTTGTTATAGATTAGGTAATCCTTATACATGCGTTTTAAGGAATGAATTTGGTACTGTTTCCCAGACCTTGGAGCTAGTGTATTTGAAAGTGAATTTACCGTAGTTTGTGCGTGTTACATGTCTATAGAGATTGTTGCTGGATGCCAATCTTGTATTATAATGATGCACAGTTGAGATAGGTACAATCGAGTCACTGAATATATCATGTCAACTCAGCGTCTTTTATATTCTAATGTCATCAGGGTCCTACGCAACTACATGATTTGGCAAATCGTTGTTAACTTCGCTCTAGAACTTGGCTCTATAGCGCAACCATCTTATGACCGTTATAAGTCCGTCGCTGATGGTACCATTTCTGGTACCATTTCTCCTTGGAAAGTGTGCATTGATGAGATGAGCAAAAACAAGCTTCTTGGGTATCCTCTTGGACTGATATTCATTGATGAGAAGTTCAGGAARGAAAGCTTGCACGAGGTAATCAAAGCTGCATGAAAATAATTAAATGTAGCAGATTTGCCATTTCTTRTGGATTCTTATCTGACRGCCAGTGGTGGTGAAATAGCTTTAACTTTGGTACGACAAAATTGTAGAAAATAAACGAATTGATATTTTGTTTCTTCTTGTGCATTGAAATTTTCCTTCTCAAATCAACTATCATGACTTATAATTCTATTAAAATAATAAGCAAATAGCCGACTTGCGAATTACGCATCAATAGTCACATACAAAGGAATCAAGACGAGGCGCCGTGCTAAAGACAATAGATTTTTCACAAAAAAGCACGGCGCCTCGTCTTGATTCCTTTGTATGTGACTATTGATGCGTAATTCGCAAGTCGGCTATTCAAAATACCTTTAAGCCATATATCGCTTTACTTTAGATCTCGAAAGTGATCCAAGACCTTCGTGAAGTTTTTCTCTCCAATTTGAATGAACTGGATTGGATGGACGAGCAAACCAAAGAGAAAGCCAGAGAAAAGGTTGAGTACATAGTACTGAGATTGGATATAATATTGTTTAATCATATATTTTGTACGTGCACGATATGATCACTAGTACAAGCATGACAATTTGAACACTCAGATGCAAACTTCGAGATAATGTAATCAAAAYTTAAAATTTTGAAGTGTGGTGATATTAAAAGACTCCGTGCATCCGTCGTTTGCTTCGTTTTCCAATTGATCGCTTGCTAAAAGTTGCTTTTTGATTGGCTAAAGATCAAAGATGGCGACTTTTGCATGAGAGAAAAATGGCGGGGGCCTTTTTTGTACGAGGCTTTTGAATGCATTGTTCGAAGAGAACCGATGATCACTGCACTGTACAGGAACTGAGCCTAGCTAAAGRCGTTGCAAATAGAATTTCGAGAAGGTGGACGCAACCGAAATATATGTCCCTAAATTAATACCTATCCCTGGGTTCCTCTAGGCTAACGCAATACGCGAAAATATTGGATATCCAAGCTACTTAAAAGATCAAGAGGAATTGGATCGACGTTACAAAGAGGTATGTAAACATTTTGTAAAAAGATTGAAACAGTTTGAAAACATATTTTTATGATCGAGTCATTTCTTTTTTTTCAGCTCAAAACAAACAGCTCATACTTCACAAGTATGGTGAACCTTCGTCGATTTGTCGTTTTCAAAAAACTTTCCAAAGTAAATAAGCCAGTCGACAAGAAAAGGTAAATATATGCTTCTCGTTARCTTACCTAATTATTTAGCCATATGTTAATCCCAAATAGGTAAAAGCTGGATTTTTCGTTAATTTTGGAATCCTGTCCAATTAATTTCTTAATTGGACAGGTTTTAAATTGGGTTTTTGTTAAAAGCTGTGGTTGGCTTTTACCTATTTGGGATCAATATGTGGCTATATAATTAATAGGTAATAAGACTCCATGCTGTCCAATTAAGAAATAATTAGACTCGAAAAATTCCTCTGACTACCAAATTGGACTCGGCCACGGCCTCGTCCAATTTTTGGCAGTCCTCGGAATTTTCCTCGTCCAATTATTCCTTAATTGGACAGCATGGTGTCCTATTACATATAAAAATAGATAACGATTAAAAGCTATCTAGTTATACATGAATCCCTTCCCTCTATTACCAAAGCCTCTATTACCTTATAGTCCATGAGAAAATAGGTTATAATGGAGACGTTTTGATCGGGCCTGATGGAATCCTTTTTTTTTTTTTTTTGCTAAAACAGATGGATTATGTTCTGATGTTGGTTCTCGAGTAGATAACTTAATTCTAATAATTTGATTTGAATGATTTCTTTATTTATATTTTAGATGGATAATACCACCGCAAAGAGTAAACGCTTATTACTATAGAGTTACTAATAAGATAAGTAAGTTATGGCAAAGCAAAGGCGTGTGGTTTGGTGTGAGCCAGAAACTATACTCGTGAGATCATCTGCATAACAGTGTTGAATCTGGGTGTAGTAACTCAAAATTCTGTTTTTTTTTCCTTTTTGTTAGCATTTCCAGCAGGATTTCTGCAGCCACCATTTTTCGATAAAAATTTCCCAAGGTATGTCTTAAATTAATTGAAGCTTCAATCTCAAAAAAAAATCAAAAAAAGTATATATTGTATTGATTTTTTTAATCTGTTGATTCCTTAAAAAAATTAGCCTTAACTTCGAAGGAAAACAGCAGCGTATATTATTCGCCATTTCAAACACTCATACATAATTAATGAGATATTAGGCCAATAGAATGAGTCTATTTGGTCTCATGCATGGACATTTATATCTGATAAAACACTCCTTATTAGTATTCTTTATATAAAGAATACTAATAAGGGTGACCTTTATCGGATATAAAGGTCCATGACCCTAGCAAAGGTCTCAGGTTTGAAACCTGATCATTGACCAATGCAGGATGCCAACCGATTGCAGTGAGCAGCCAAGAGCGCTTCTATTTTACTTTATGCGTATTCAATGTGAGATGATAAGAGTGCTTTGTTAAGTGATTCGCGCATGATCAGTTTGCCCTATGTATCTCAGAACATATTTGTACGGCAATTTCTCCAAGAACTTTAACGGATTTGAGTTTCAAATTAGTGTTGGAGTTTTTGAAGCCGTTKAAAACACTCGAGATCGTGTTTTATCAGGTATAAAGATTCTCGCCGATAAAACACTCTGTCTCGTGTTTTAAACTATACAAAGTTATGATTCTCAGATTAGGCAATGTTTGGTTGTTATTCTATTACAGGGCGGTCAGTTATGGTGGCATTGGTATTGTTGTCGCTCATGAAATAACACATGGTTTTGATAGTAATGGTAAGAAACTAATATTTTTTATCATAGTCAGTGTGAGTTTATCGCTCTCAAATCTGATGACTTTGGGTTATGTCCAGTTCCCCTCCTTGCTTCCACAACTTATTGTCCAAACCTTTTTATGGGCATTTCTATGTTGGTTCTCAATTGGGTCTAACCTCCAACACACAATGTCACATAACTTGTAATTCAATGAAAGAAAATAAACCTATTGCGCATGTCACTGTYCTCTGATATAAACACGTTGGAAGATTGAGAACGGAAGAGAAACAAGCATTACARCAGGGCAGCAAGTTCTTCTCTCTCCACTTCCCAACATAGTTCCAMCATGTTATRTCAAACACAAAATAACTCTCATATAAACACAGCTATCAGCCAATGAGAGCKCGARGTTTATCAAAAAAATACCATTATATAACCACAACTATAAAACAGGTCGAAAGTACGATAAAATGGGAGACCTGTCCAATTGGTGGACTAATTCATCCAATGATGCCTTCGAAAGGAAGTCCAAATGCTTCATCGAACAGTACTCTAACGTTCGTGCTTATGGAATGAACGTAAGTATAMCGCTGCTCAATTATCGTATTTACTCGATAGACGCCGCCCCAGAATAGACGTCACCCTCAAATAGGCACCGCACTTAAAGCTCAGAATATTGATAGACGCCTCTCCCGAATAGACGCCGCATCTGTGTGCGACGTCAATTTGAGGAAATAATGATACCAGCAATGGGAATTTATTTTCTTTTAGAATTTTTTTTATTTCGAAGTGACTGTAATTTTTTGCTCTTAGCAGCTGTTAGATTCCGACCACGAGGAGGACATTGATGTTGAAATAGAAGCTTAACTCTGGTTTAAATCATAAATTGATCATGAATAGACATAATGAACACGACAATTATATCTTGACAATCGATCGTTACTGTTTGTTAGTAAAAATATACAATATAAAGTACGGTATTTAATACTGAATAAAGTTTTTTTTAATAAACGCCGCCCCCCGAATAGACGCTGTCCTCGAATAAACGCCGCACCTGGATCGTGAAAAATGAAATAAACGCCGCGGCGTCTATTCGAGTAAATACGGTACTGACAACTCAATTTACCCAATATTCAAAGAAACCTAAAAAAATGTTTTATTCCAAACAATCGATTATACCGATTGAATGGAGATTCTTGAGATTATTAACTGAAGATGTTCGTGCACACACTCGCGAATATCTCCTGTTTTTTTTTATTTTTGGTACTGGAGTTCCAATTGCTTTTGAAAACATCTCATGAACTAGTCATTGCATTGCTTCAAATAACGGAAGAGGGAACTAAAGAAATGACGCATTTTCGCAATGGAATTTTATTCGCTTTACCCTTTGCATCGACGTCAATGCTTTGATAATTTTTTTTTGTTTGTCAGACCTATATTTTGATGATTAATGTTAAACTTTCTTTTATTTGCAGCTCAATGGTGTCCAGACTTTAGGAGAAAACATTGCAGACAATGCTGCCATAAAACACGCTTTCATGGTAAATGGATGAAAGTTATTGTTGTTGTTGTTGATGTTGTTATTGTTTTCTTCTTCTTTTTTGTTTTTTGCTTTTTTCCTTCTTCAAAAACTCATACTTACTTAATGAGTTATTACTAATAGGTCGATAGAATCAGCCTATTTGGTCACATTCACGGACCTTTATATCTCTGATAAAACACTCCTTATTAGTATTCTTTATATAAAGAATACTATAAGGGTGACCTTTATCAGATACGAAGGTCCATGACCCTAGCAAAGGTCTCAGGTTTGGCATCTGACCATTGACCAATGCAGGATGTCAACCGATTTCAGTAAACAGCCAACAGCTGTTCTATTTTACTGTATACGTATTCAATGTGGGATGAAAAGAGTGCTTTGTAAAGTGATTCGCTCATGATCAGTTTGCCCCATTTATCTCAAAACKTATTTTTAAGGCAATTTCTTCAAGAATTTTAACGGATTTGAGTTTTAAATTAGTGTTGAAGTTTTTGAGGACGTTTAAAACACTCGAGATTGTGCTTTATCAGCCTTCGGCTCAAATCTTTATACACTCTGATAAAACACTCTCTCTCGTGTTTTAAACTATACATAAAAACTARGCCGATCCCGAAGCCATTCATTCATAAATTCCCTATTCAAGATTTTACAACCTAATCTGATTATGAATTCTCTTTTTTTTTTTTCATTTTTTAAGGCCTATCAACATTGGGTTCAAAATCACAGAGAGGAGCCCAATCTTCCCGGGATGGAGTACACCAACGATCAAGTATTTTTCATAAGCGCAGGCCAGGTACRTTKTAAAAAGGGTTATGGCCAACCCTTGCTTGTTTTAATTTTGTTCATTTTTGATTTTCCATACTTTAAGAACACCACCTGTTTGTCGRACAAATTTACCTTAAGATAAATGTTTCCTTCTCGTCAGGTGGATTGTTCGAACACGCGTACTCAGAATGCCAAAAATGCTATAGAACAGGGTACCCATACGCTTAGTAAATTTCGGTAAGTAAACATAATTTAAACTGATCTGAAACATGGCGATCCCTAATGATGATAATGATAATGATGATAATGATGATGATGATAATGACGATGATGATAATGATGATAATGATGATGATAATGATGATGATGATGATGATGATGATAATGATGATGATGATGATGGCGATCATAATAATGATGATGATGATATTGATTTCGAAGTTGATGACGATTATTTTTTATTCATTCGTTAAATTTGAGTTCATATGTATATCCATATCAAACAATTGACAAGGAGAAAAATTCATTCGTTTGCCAAACTTTTGCTGACCATATATGGTATCTTTCCTTAAAAGGAAGTACGTCAGAAATTTTTTTCACGTTTTGTCCACCTTTCAGTGCTTTAAAATGGATGAAACTTACAGAAATTGCAGATAAATTTGTCTTTTCAACATGTCGGCCATTATAAATTTATCCTAGTTCTAATAAGGATGCAACAAAAGCACAGGTAGCCCTCCCGAATGTTATACAATCGTTTGACATGGAGCTATCCCGGGAGGGGACTCCCATATAAAATAAGTTRGTTAGTATGCTCGACGGAYGGATAGAAAAATKACCCATAAATACGCATAAATAAATTCAGGTATCGATTCCAGWCCCCAGGGGTACGAGCATTTTTGACGTCTTTAACCAGAGAAAAGCTCAAGTTTAACAAACTGTAGAAAATCAATGTCGATAGATCATTGACTGTTGTTGATGGTAATAAAAACTATTTCTTTATAACACTTCTTCATTTTTCCCCCGTTCCTCGAAAATTGACCCTAAAAGGTACGGAGTCAGCTCAGGACTCTAAAAGGTACGCGAGGTTTTTATTGTCGACCCTAAAAGGTCCGTCGAGCATATCTACAAATTTAATAAGTCTTATAAGGGAGTTCCCCTTATACCCAGGGGGGACTATTTGAAGTTCGATTAATTTAAATCACCTTCAGTGTACAAGTAAATAACCACTTTATCTTTCAGAGTGAATCTTGAGATGGCCAATTCGAAGGAGTTTTCAAAAGCTTTCAATTGCCCACTGGGGTCGCCAATGAACCCAGAAAAGAAATGCGAAGTGTGGTAGTCACGTGACACTTTTAGACCCAGTTCTCTCTCTTTCAAATTAAAACAACTCTCATCTACACATCTATCTATCTAGGTTTACATATAATCATATTCAAATTCAATGTCAATTCAAATCATAGAAAATCTAACGTGACAAAAAAGCCTGTTTGAAACGTYAAATTTCAGATGTGTAGACATGCAAATACTAAGATATTTAGCAGGTACAAGATATGGAAACATTTGCACTGAATAATAACCTCCTGGATTTTTGTCTGTGGCATTTTGAAATGTGTCATCGAGCCTGAAATTAAGGTGAGCGTGCAAAGATAGAAACATTATTTCATGCCTACATAAAAATATACTATGGTCGTCTCGTTTCGATGCAAAGGCACGGTTACCTTTCAAGATTCGGACGTGAGAGAGACGGTATACAGCTATTTCAAAAAACGTTGTCGGGGAGAACGGCGAACGGCGATTGTCGAAGGGAGATTGCACGACCGAAAGGGACTATGGTTACACTGTTTTGATAAACAAAATTTCACTTATTGGATTCACCTTGCATAGAAATGGAAACTAAATGGAGCCAATGATTACCACAGACCATCTTACAGTACAAATCAGTTGTTATTTCCTTTCAACTAGCAAAACCCATGGCTACTTTCGGTCGTGCAATCGCCGTTCGACAATTGACATTCGCCATTTTATCAGACAACCTTTTTTGAAACAGCTATATATGTCGTCGATAGCTAGACRATCGAATCTTGGTTGTATTTAGCAGGATATTATATACAGCACCTTTTTACTTGGTTCTCAGTGAATCAAAATTATTCTAGTATTCCAAATATCAAAATAAGAGAAACGATATTCAGTTCATTGACCACTTTTGAACATAAAATAAGGTCTGTAAGATTCTCAATGGTTAAAAGGCCCAGCGTGCCTGGAGGCAGACATTTTCCGTTAACCGAAAGTCTATAAATTGTACTGTGCGTTTCAAATCTTTGACCATTTCACTTTTCTAAGCACTTAAACGATAAAATTATAGTGTTTTCAACTATCTGACATTCGTTTTATGGTGATATTTGGGATACTAGAAGTATTTTGGTGTAAATCATAACAATAACAGAGGCGCGCAAAGCATAATGGCGCAAACTGGGCCTTTAAGGTCAAATGCAAATTATTGCAATATTTTTTTTTCTGCGTCATTATCATATCATTTCTATTGAATTCTGCACATATGAGATTTGACGTTTGAGAAGGACAAGCGCTGTGAATAGCGGAATAATGTTCTCGATGTAGTAGATAATGAGGCACATTTGGTTGATTAGGACGTCTAAATATGTAAATAATATCATGCTTATACAAGTTGTTTAATCCACCACTGAMATTAGCTGCGACAGCTTACTTCGCRTGGAATAAGCCTAAAGCTTCACCTTAAAAAAWTAGGTTATTGTCWTATTTGACTATGACGTCACGTCATGTTTTGTTGAAGAAACAGCAATGGAAACTGATTTGGTTTTGTTGACAATCTCGTCGGCATTTAGCAAACGAATATTGATATCTTTTGTTTTATTTTCTTGTCATCCAGTAATCTTCTCTTCCACTTCTTTTCTAAACTCTGTCCAAAGCAATTTTTTCTCGTTGTTGTCACCCAGTACTCTTCTCTTCCACGTCTCTTCCACTCTGTCCAAAGCAATTTTTTCTTGTTGTTGCTGTCGTTGTTGTTGCTTTGCTTGTTTGTTTGTTTTTTGGCAAGGCTGTCAAATTGTACCTTTCTGACGGCCATAAATAGTCGTAAGAGTATCAAGTGACGTCATAGTGCAACAAGGCAATTTGAATGCAAAAATTGATGCAGACACTATTGAAATTAGAAACCAGATTGTCGCAGTCTATTCAGTGCAACTGCCTCAAGGTATTTCTTATTTTGTAGGCACTTTTGTTAATAATATTAATTAAAATTTATGTATATAACACACATATATACACGGGGTTGGGGATGTGACACACATATAGATACGTTAAATAGGTAAATATACATAACCAGCTGATCTGGAATAGTGCCCCTTTGTAGCTGAATTCAAATCAACTTCATCTGGACGAAGAACACAATTTAGGAAGCTACTGCTTGTTATATTATCTCYAAGCTCATACAAGAAATTGAAGTATTTTACCATGTATCTGCTAGCTTAAAGCAACAAAGCTACGACTATATCTACGATGAAGTATTCATTTTAAAGCCTTTTATGGCATGACGATGCAATAATATGAACAAGAATTGTAGCGCACAGTGGAACACCGCATTGTGACCACTCCTTAAATTGTAACGACCAGATTTYTATGTCCCTTCGATAAGTCATACAYTAATTTGCCCGGTTRATACGKTAGTTCTTTTTTGTCCGTTCGCCGGCYGGATTAACGAGRTCCCACTACAATTGCTATCTATACCATTTGTGMATCTTAAMGAGCGTTTACAATTTAATTGGCGAGGGCACARCTCGGAAAGATCAAGATCAGCTGGAATATACAAAAGCTCTTTTTTAAGTTATATAGCTTACAGTATACAGATATTATCATTRTAATTATTTTACTTATTATCGATAAGTATTAAAATAAAGCTTTTGGGTAGAATCTTTTAACATCAATAACATTATGTCAATTTCTTATGAAACAAAATACGGCCGCTAACCGAATCCATACCATYATCATCCACCTGATAAGCTATTTCCTAAAATGGATGCATATTCCTTATATAAGATAGCAGTCTGTCCAAGTCCCTCACTAACTATGTAATCCAGGTACAATTCAGATCAYTGGTCTGCGAAATCTGGAAAGTCGRCCACACGTATCTCTTTCTCTGTATCTCTAAGATATAGAGGATATTACATGGGCGCGCGGAGATACGGATTTTATCTTCCAGTGTTGAAAAGATCTCTCACGAGTGAGCGTAGCGAAGGAGCCTTTTCAACACGAGAAGATAAAATTCGTATCTCCAAGCGACCATGTAATATTCTRTTTATCATATAATTGGATATGAACGCAAATTATGTCGTAAAATACCTTTTTTCTTACTTCCACTATAGAAAAGATATCAAGTTTACGAAATGGAGAAATATAGGTATTTCATAGATAATTATATGATAAATATATATCTCCCTCGTCATTCTAGATCTTTTAAGTTAAAACTAAGCTGTGCTTTCCATTTGTCAGAACTGGCTGGTCCCATTTAGTTAGGAAATTCAAATTTTCAAATTCTATCCATTATTCTACAGAAAACCTCGAAATGACTGAAAAATGTTGACAAAAAGCATTATATACCTCTAAATMGAGTGGACTGGCCGGCCAGTTCTGCCTAAATGGAAAGCACCCTAAGACATATTTTGTTCGATCCATTGGACAAACCGCACGACTTTGACAAAAACACTATACTTATTTGGCAGACCGCAACCTCTAGCACTCCCCCAGCTTATGACTCCACCCAGTAACCACTTTCTGAATTTTGAATCGAAAAAAACAAAACCTCCTCCASCGTCCCCACCACAAAAATCGCTTACACYAGWRGCAGAACCARCGCACAACATGTTATCGGTGACATTATATCCCTCACTTAAAAAGGCATTTTGGCARATAGACTTTAATACCACTGGCAAGCACGCTTCTTGCAGTGTGTCAGCGGTTTTTCTGCTATGTGGATCTCTCTCTGTAACCCCCCATCCAACYGTGATTCCAAACTTAGGGGGGTCCATCAATGAGACGTCACTAAGTACCAATGATAAAAAACGCATAAACAAACAAACCAAAAATTAATAATTCGTATCAATGTATGGTCTTTTTTTCTTGTTATATATGTATAACAGGAAGATTAGAGTCATTTTAATCCGTCTGTGAAATAGGAATTGTACTATTGAATACTATTACCCCCTATTAGCTCCCAATAGTTTAACTTATGACATGCGACAATTAATAAGGCAAACACGGTTTTGCCTTTTAGTACCCTACCAAACCCTAATAGTTACTATTAAACACTGACTCGTGGTAATTGTTTCACAGACGGATGAAAGTGACTCTCTGATAGAATTTTGAAAATAATATTATTAGTGCACACCTGCTTGCAAGTATGTTGTCATAGAGAAATAGAACATCTGTATTTAGTAAACGAATTACATCAACATCAACATTGAACTAGTGTTTAACAACTTCAAGACCGGTAATTTCTTTAATGTGAAGGACATTTGTCCCTAGAGGATTACTCTCATGTGTCGTTTATAAATTTGTTTGCGCAAGCTGTTCTGCTTGTTATGTGGGGAAACTTCCCGCCATTTTCAAACACACGTGATTGAACACCTCTCTCGGGACAAATACTCTCACATATACCAGCACATAAACCGCTCGGGTAACTGTAGAGATTGTTGTGACAAGGAATGTTTCACAATAAATGACACTGCCACCTCCAAATCCAACTAGAAATTAAGGACAGAGAAGCCACGAATGTATTATTTTCACTAGTGAAAATAAGAACTTTTCGAAAGAGAGAAATACTGTATAGATTYTCACATATAATTACATGATAAATGAAGGATATTTCATGGTCGCGCGGAGATACAGATTTTCTCTTCGATGGTTGAAAAGATCTTTGAGGAGTTAGCGTAGTAAAGCCGATAAAATTCGTATCTCCAAGCTACATGTCATATTCTGTCACTTAAAATTATGGAAAAACAATCCAATATCAYGCCTTTTGTTTTTAAACGCCAAAGAAAATGCTTAATCAGTAAATCTTTATTAAGAAAGTTGCAATTGAAACAAGTGCTTTACTTAAGCTACCGGGGACTTTCCTGGAAAGAAATTGTACCGCTTTACCAAGGATTATGTTTTATATTTAAAAAATGTAGTATTATGATAAGAGACATATAACGTAATAATGCGCATCTCATGACGTAACGAAACGTTGTAGCTTAATTACAAACGCAATAATAAGCATTTGATAGCGTATGATACGTTCCTAGCAATGTAATAATACGCAATTCATTACGTAACGAAACGTAACTTACAACGTAATACAATAATTATCTTGAAAGAAGTAAAAAATGCTCATGGACTACGTTTAAGTTAGAATTGAAATAGCTTTCAAAAAAGCCCTAAAAAGCCCTTTTAATATAATGATACTCTTGTATATTTTTAATAGCTTAAAACATATGTTGTTAAGAGTTAGTAATGACATAAAACTATTTCTTGATGCTTATTGAAAATCATAAAACTTGATTATATTTCTAGACAAACTATACACACAAAAACAAATTGTTCTATCTACAAGGTTGTCATGGCTACAGCCACTGCATCYTAGTGGTGAGGYATTAATGTTTCCATGGCAATGATCTCCATAGTTAYCACCATAATAACGCAGTTTCTTATGAAACAAAACAAAACCGCTAAAAGCATCCATACCATCATCATCCGTATGATAAGCTACTTCCTAATAAGGATGCATATTCCTTATAAGGAATATATATCTCCCTCGTCGCTTGACTAAAACATGTTCTGCTCGATCCATTGGACAAACCGCACGACCCTGACAAATACACTATACTTGTCTTTCAAACCACAACCTCTTCCACTGCTCCAGCTTACAACTCCACCCAGTTTCCACTTGTTGGACTTTGAATCGAAGAAGACAAAACCTCCTCCAGAGTCCCCCTGACAAATGTCCTGTCCACCAGAAGTGTAACCAGCGCACAACATGTTATCGGTGACGGTATATCCCTCGTTTAAAAAGGCATTTTGACAAACAGCTTTTGATACCACTGGTAAGCAYGCTTCTTTTAGTGTGTCAGCAGCGACGTTTTTCTTAGGATTTATTTGTAGAATTCCACTTGTAGCTCCCCATCCAACTGCCATTCCAAACTTAAGGGGAGTCATCAATGAGACGTCACTAAGTAGTCAATGATTAAAAAAAGAATTTATTCATATCAACGAATGGTCGGTCTATTGTTCTTAAGAGAAAATAGTAAACCGTCGAGTCTTTTTTATGGACAGACATTATTTTTTTCCCTGTGACAACGTTTTTGCAATAAGGTTCAACAACATCGCGCCTACATCACAGCATAGTGGGTKCATGAAAGTCCAACATATTGACTATTCTTAGAATTCTAGAAAGAGCGTGAAAGCCTTGAATTTATGTGTGTAAATTGATTGTTTATTCTATTGTTCTCTATCCTAAGAACGCATGCGCGTAGCGTGGACGTTTTGGCTAGTACGCACATGTCAGGGACTGCGATACATATTTTGGATCTGGAGGTCTAACGACCGCCAAAGTTGGGAGTATAAAGGGAGTCTGGATCTCACCCAGAAAAKTTTGAAATAATATCTCTTGGAAATGCGTTTTGTGGGACATAGAGAGCATATAAAAGGGACTAAATTTATGTGAATTTTTCAGTACTTTTTGTGAAAATTTTATATATTTCCTTGCCATTAGTACGCACGTGCGTATATGCGTAAAGGACGCTACGCAACTGGAACGAGGCTAAAATTCCCGTCTGTACTGGGATTTTAAGAATAGTCAATAGTTTTGGACGGATTCTGCTCTTATTCCACTGCTTGAATTCTCACCTATATACGACAACATTGCCCTTTGCAGGTAATGGAAATATACAGCTCTTTATTTGAAACTAAAGAACGGGCTTTTTCTAGCTTTTTTGCATTATCTCACTATCTCTCATTATCTCTTTATCTCACAGATAAAGTCGCTTTGATATCCTAACCAAAGCAGCCTAGGCATAAAAAAGAATTCACTGGAAAAAATCGTGCACTTTGAAAGGTTGTAAATGTGATGTAAATATGACGTAAGTTTTCAAAATGATGTAAATTTGATGTAAATGATTTATATCAAATTTACATCATTTTCGACAATTACATCATATTTACATCAAATTTACAACCTTTAAAAGTGTGATTTTTTCCAGTGAATTAGGCAGCAGACTATTGATGTTCATAGTCAGGTATTCGGGGAGATTGTCGAGCATTAATATAAATAGCTGCAAAGCAGGCTACAAGACATTAAAGAATATAAGCGTACGAACCTCATTTTTTTCGGTAGACAAACGGGTCTTGCAAACTCGTCGATAGTCACTTCACCATCAATTTTAAGTAGTGCTAGATCTGAGTCAAATAGCGAGAAGTCAAAGTCTACGTGAGTGATAATTTGTGATACGTTTCTCCTCTGCACTTGACGRGCATTTGTTTTAGATGTCCGRTGAAGACCAATGAACAGCTCCAATTTGTTTARTGGTACAATTCCACCTCCCACTGACTCTTTCACACAATGGGCCGCTGAAAARGTTAAAGAAAATCATGCTAAATAGTCTTMTTCACGGCTCCCTGCGCCATATTGAAAGGTAGCCGTGCCTTTGCATCGAAGCGAKACGATCGTTCAGCATGTAATGATAGAAASCTTCTTTCACACCTACAGAYAATTATTYACAGGTATCTATCATTGCGCATGCACGCTCAACGGTTGTCTCGCTTCAATGYAAAGGCACGGCTRCCTTTCAAGATGGCGCAGKKAACCGTGAAGGAGACTATTCTAGGCTGTWGWAAGWTAGTTATTCAATGTTTCTATAWCAATGACAAATTCTACCTGTAAGAACCCATCTCTCGTTGAGCAACGACCCTCCACAAGCCACCCTGTTTGACTTCTTTAGAAGAACGTGCCATGGATACGCTCCTTTCAATGTCTCCTGCCCACCCACAATTCTTCGTCGGCACTGACTCAGCCTTGTTCCATTATATTTTGTTTCTCCACAAACTAAAAACGAGTAAAATTGGTAGAGAATATACAAATGTTTGAGTGAAAATTAATAGAGTTGAATCTACTCCAGAAATAKAGTTAATTAACTGTTACTT